TAGTGCCAAAATTCTTAAAATAAATATAGTATTTCTTTAGAAAAGATGCAAGTAATTGAGTATTGATTATCTTTCCAGAAGATAAGTTATGAATGCAACTGGAAAATTATGTAGAGCAAGTCTCTTAAATCAGGATGGTAACTGTGCATATGAGATTTTTCATGATGCTACCCAAGAGAGAAAAAAGCTGATCTCTTTCACAAAAATATTTTTGTTTATTCTTTTTTGACTCCAATTTTTATTTGAGAAGTACCGAAGTGTTGCTTTTGGCAAATTGTTTTTATAATGCAAGTATCAATGGCCCTGAGAACTTAGGTATGTAAGACCTGTCGTTTTATACATCTGGTCAAGTATGAAAATACTTAGTGTGAAATATTTTGGACTGGCATCTCAATCAAATGTTAAGTTAATTCAGACCATTAAGACTTCAAACAAGCATTTTTTTTTAATTTTTTTTTTTTTTATTTGGAGGCTTTTTTTTAGTTCATTTTAAAATTCCTTCCCTGATGACTCTTGTTGCCAGGACTATAGTTTTATAGGAAAGAAAATTTGTGTTGGCTGGAAGTTTATGAGGAGATTTTGGTTGTTTTTGGTTCAGCAGCTGGCCTTTATTCTGTAGTATGCTCATAGAGAAGAGAGGAGCTGTCAGTTTTAAAGATGACTGAAGAACCTTGGGTGAAATCCAGTCCCTGCCTAAGGACATTCTTTTGTGTAAAATGTTGCACAGAATTACTTGAATTCATTATCTGTAGTTTTGATGCTGCCATTGACAGTTTAATTTAGGTGGTTTGAACAAGCTGGTTATCTAAAATACTAACTGATGTAACCAGATAGACCCAGGAGTTAAAAACACCTATTCTCTATGTACAATGACCCTGGCCTATGTTCATCCTTTATTCTTAGTGATTTCACACAGTTTAAGAACTGAGGTTCCTTACAGGAAGCCCTGTTTGCCCCAAAAGATTCTATTCCTGGTCCAGGAATTCCTTCTTACCTGGACAGCTGAGTTAATTTTTTCTTTCCTAATAATGTCATTTTGATCTCATAAAGTGTGTTTGTTGTTAGGTTTTTGAGGCTGTTTTTGTTGCTGTTTTGTGGTTTGTTTGTGTTTTTGTGGTTTTGGTGAGGTTTCTTTTTCTTGAATAATGCCATATTGTTTGAGATGTTTCTCTTTGGTTTGTTGGTTTTTTTGTTTTTTCTTTTTTGGCCTGCTTACATGTCTTTGATTGAATATATGTCCTGAGTTTCAAGTTCCCCTCCATCTGTCCATGGTGTGGCTCCCTGTGACACCTCTAGAGTGCCTTGCAATTGGATACAACTGCTGCATTAATGAAGGCTTCTTGTTGCAGCAAAGGGACTTTTTCTCTCTTGCAAAAGCATAAATTGCCTGTGGCACTGCTGCACTATGAGCATCAAAGCATGGAAATAATCTTAATTTCATTTTTTTTTTACTTTAGATATTATATTGTGTACTTGAATATTAGTTTCTCCATGTGTTTGAATTGTTTAGAATGAATACTCAAAATTCATCTTACTCTACAGTATTTCAGTATCTCCTTTTTTCAGTGTTTATATTCATAGCCTCCTTGTTTAGTTCTAAGGCACAAAACTATTCTTAATTTACCTGTCATTGGTTGTCTTATATTGCACTGAAATATTGTAAAGACTAAGAACCATATAAATATTTTTACATAAATGCTGTAAAAACAACCTTATTTTATATTTATTAATTTTATTATGAATATTTATAACACAATTTCCCTTCTTAATTGTTAGTCCATTTTCATAGCTTTAAAATTTACACAGCTACTAGAAATATTATGCTGGTATGATAGTGCTAAACTAGTTTTTAGTCTAATTGAATTATTTTATGTAATGTCATTGAAATTCAGAATTTTACAGTAAGTATACCAAAATACTTAGAGACACTGAATCTTAAAGAGAAGGAAATCAGCAATGGGAAAAATGAATTAAGGAAAAAAGTTGTTGAGCATTAATAATGTTTAAATTTCAAATGAAGAAATGCTACTTACTACATATAATAGTGTATATATGTAATAAATACTCCTTTTCCACCAAGTGTGTTGGATTTTTTTTGAGGAGTTGCTTTCTCAAAGTAAGTTTTACGCCAAATATGCACAAGTCTGTGTTAGCAACCACATTGGGTAGTGCTTGTACCAGAGTTTCCTGATGACTTAGTCGGTGTTTAAATACATGGTTTCCTAAAGACTATTGTGGCTTTTCAACCGAACGTAATTATGGTTATCCAATCTAAAACGCCTAGAACCTAATAAAAAACTCTTTCACTGTACTGTAATGAAAGGAAAACCATTTTGCAGCGTGACGGAGTGAATCTTTGTTGGTGATTGATCTAAGAATTGCTGAACTGTGCATCTGGACAAGCTGTACTCATCTGGGCAGCTGTGGGTGTCCAGATGGTCAGTTCCAGACGTGTGCCACGTAACAGTGGCCGGCGTTACGCAGCTGCCGTCCCTTCCGTGACACGGGTGCGGGCAGTGCTTTGCCCTGCTTACCAAACATTTGCAAGCATATGTGGCAGAGGTGAGGATAAAGGGCACACAGCTATTATATAATTACTATGCATGTTGAACTGCTGCTTGATTAGAGGGAAAGCAGTTATTCTGCCGTGGCTCATTTTGATGATGCGTTCTCTTAACGTATTAGCTTTAACCTTTGAGGATTTGATTTAAATCCTGACTGTGCGTCACAGGCGAAAAGATGTGTATTCATTTCCAAGTTCTGAGAAGGCATTTTTCCACATGATAAAGTGCATGTGTGCTTGATTAGCTGTTGTTGCTTTAGGGTATGTGGCTACACATACTTTTGCAGACTGGGGTTAGCATGTCTGAATAGTGTAGACTCTTGTTCATAATTTTCCTGCTTTATGGCTACTTATGGCTACAGATTGTAAGTATAAAAGCTCCACTTGCATGAAACTATACTATTGTTTTCTCCCTTTGAATCATAATCATACAGGAGTAATGTGTGACACAACAGAGGGCAGGCAGTGGAAGCTTGCCAGCTGCCATATGGTGCTAATATTGGTGGTGGCATGCTGTATTGTAAACTCAAGACCTGCAGTAGTTTATGCATTTGTGCAGTGTGACCTTACATTGCTGTCAAAATGTATAACCATTGCATCATTTTACAGAAGGAATTATGAAGTGTCAGGTTTGTTACATATTGAGAATATTTGGACAGCCTAGGACTTAAATGTTCTAATATGTCCATGTGGAGCAGTAGATTAATAGATTAAGAGGAGGTCATGGCAAAGATTCTATATTCTCAGGAACCATTTTAAAGTCAAGATTAAGATCTGCTGAATTTACAAAATGTATCCAAAGTATATATCTTTACATGCTCTGTATTCCTGACATAGTGTTGTATGCCTGAAAATAAGAGGGGGAGTAAAAGTCATATAATGAAATATATCGTGTGAGTTATGTGCTTAATCCATCAGTAAGTGTCACATGTAGAAGTTTACCCACATTTACAGGCAGAGAAGATATTGAGCAGTTACTCATATGCACATAAACGTTGGAGTGGTAGTGGGCTAGACTGTGATACTCTGAATATTTATGGTATTTTACATTGTAGTCTATATTAGTCTGATCTATATTAAACTTGGCTCTGAAGTATGAATGAGCAGAAGAGTAAGCTTTGGTCTTTCAAGCAACATTAATTTGTCTAAATATCACCAGCTTAATTTTTAGTTTAAGCAATGTAATTTACTGCATCATGGAGTTCAGTAAGTAATTGACCATATTACTTTATTCAGTTTCCACATTACCAGTTTTGGGCAGGGTAATGAATCTTTACTTAGTGCCAAGTATTGCTTCCTGTGAAATTATTGTTCGTGATGCTGTCATGCTACACATACACATTTAGTGCTGTCTTTAACAGCCCTTCAGAACTTGGGAAATGGATAAACAAGTGCAGCTGGGCCCCTGAAGGGAGGCTGCATCTCCTTTCCTGTGAGATTTTAACCATATCATGCTGTTCCATCATACCAGCAATCAGCACCCCATGGCTCCCATCTAAATATCCTAACTGATTTGTAATCTGCCAGCAGATTTGATTTGTGTCTGCCATCATCAGCTGAAACAAATGCCTATGAAGCCACAGTGGCTGGCATGATTTTGACTTGTGATTTTTGTCCTTCACTTGGTTGATGTTAATTGCTTCTGTATTTGAAAGGCTGAGCTTCCTGAGCTACCACCACCTGAAAGCTCTGGTGCTTGGCACAGTTCTGTCATTTGGCACGTGAATCTGAGGTGGAAGATGCTAGCTAAGGCACTTGCTTGCTTCCTTTCCTGGTGGACTAGGAGCTTAAAAGGAAGGAGTTAAAGTCTCCTGTGAATATAACAGTCTGGTCAGAGAGAGAGAAAGTTAGATAAGCTTTCCCACGAATTGGTCTGAGGGAGCTGGAGAGAAAGAATTGTAAACAATCTGCAGGTGTTTTGTGATAAGCTGTTTTGGCCATAAGGTTGTTTACAGATGGGTGGTTTCTTAATTAACCAATGGGGATGGTGCTTTGATTAAAGAATGAATCAGGTCCACCTGTAGCGAACTGGAGTATAAAAAGGAATGGATTTCCTAACAAAGTGAATTAGCCTTCTTCTGACTGTTTTTGGAGTCTGTGACATCTCTGACTCAATGATGACAGTCTACTTAGTTGATAATTGTCATGTCTCTCATTTTCTTTAGACATTGTTCATGACCCTGGCTCAGTTTAGGTGATTATTAATTGTTGAGTGGTGTTCTCAATGTGCTTTGAACAAATGTTTAATTAACAGAGGGTGGAGTGCTGTGCCTCTTGTTTAGAGGTGACCTTGCTCTTCAGGTAGCTGGATTAGGACAGCTCTACTTGGCTCAGTACTGAAATCTTAACATATTATTTTTAATGAATTTGTATGTTTTTAACCTGCAAAATGCATCTCAGTTATTCTAAAATGTTCTTCTCATCTTTGCTCCCATAGTACCAGGATACGAATATGCAAGGCGTAGTGTACGAATTGAACAGCTACATAGAGCAGCGCTTGGATACAGGAGGAGATAACCAACTGCTTCTGTATGAACTGAGCAGCATCATTAAAATAGGTAAGAAGGAGAATCAGGTGTCTCTGAGCTGTTACTCAGCATCAGTGCACAGCACATTTCTTACGTGGTTTAATTAATAAAGTCAGGTACTTAGGGATAACAGTGTTCCCATTGGATGTTCTCTCAGTGTGAACTGACTTCACCTTTTGTCCCTCAGTGAATCCCTAGCTGCCCTGAAGTGAATTTCATCTGTGGAGAGAGTTGCATATCCTATTGTGATATTAGAGTCTCATGTGAAATGAACCAAAGAATCTGTTCGGGTTATGATGGTGTTGCAATTTCAGTAGTGAAAGTAAGAAAAAGTAATATCACTGCGTACTTAAATTTCTTTTGAAACAATTGAAATGCCACTAGAAGAAGGCCTATCTTTTGTGTGATCTCAAACTCAGTTGTTTAACTATTTTTTTCTATCTGATGTAAGTACCTTTTGTGGTAAGAAAATACTGCATATGATCAAAAGTTAAAAATTAAGAACAAACAAAACACTCAATAACAATACAAGTGTTATTTGACTTCTTTTTAGCCAGAGTAGATGGACTCAGACTTCAATAGGAAGTGTCACGGTAGATTTCAGTCAGCTCTTTAGAAAGGTTTTACTGTCCCAGCTGCTTAATAATTTTTTAACAATGAGTAATAGTTCTGGTTTATATATATGATGTTTTAAAAGAACCTTTTCTCTGCAAAATCTGCTGATTTTGCTTAGGCTATTATTTGGATATTGATGTCCAACTCACAGCAAAACAAATTTGTTAATAAACAGCAAGTGAGACTGGACCATACAGCGTGCTTATGTATTACAATTTTTTCCTTTTGAATAGCAGATAGGAGGGCTTTTTATATATTATTTCCTTTACAGTACTCCTTTGACTTGTAGGTCAATATACTTACGTACTACAGCTGAAGGATTTAAAATCTGAATGCAAATTACTCTGCCCTCAACTCTTAATAATGCTGCACAGTTGACAATGAGCAAGTCACTACACAGTGGAACTTTATTCCTTTGGTCAAAGAAATTAAGAATGCCATTTGATGTGATTGCACACAAGTAAAATGTTTTCCACTGAAATGTACTAAAAAGATTGAGTTCATTCATAAAATAATAGGTACCAGATATGTCTTTTTACTCTCTTTTTAGAATGTTTATTAAGTTTTGGAAAGACACATGATACAAACCTGTTGTGTAAAGCAGGCTGAGAAACATTTTGTGCTATATACTCTTCTGATTTTGAGGATAAGTTACAATGGTTGGTTGACTCAAAGCTTTTGAGAGTTTTAAGGAACTTGACTTTACCCTGTTTCATACCACACTCTTAATCTGGCAGAAATCTATAAAGTATAAACTTTCTGGTGAGTGTCACTATTTTTAATGTGGGCTAGGTGGAGAAAATAGAAGCAGCTTGTTTGGAAACACATTTTTATGGCAGTATTTGTAACTCCTCATTTTCCCATGATTTTCTCTCTTAAGGCAAGGACAAATATAACTTAACATTTACAATTGGCATATATTTTACTCATAGAAATTGAAGTAGTATCTGACAGATTATATTGTAAATACACTTTTTAATGTTACATCTATTGTTTGGATTCATTTGCTTTTACAGACATTAGGCCTTGGAGTATAGATGTATAAAGAAGTTGTTTCTAATTATCTTTTAAAATGCTGTAAATGGCAATGAAGAAAGCAAGAACCTCTAACTTTATAGGCTTTTGAAAGTTTTAGAAGACACAGCAGAAGACCTTAATCTTTTGAATGGTAGATGTTTGTCCTAAGTGGAATTGAATCTGTGGTTTCACCTCAAAGATGTTGCCTAAGTTTGATTTATCCCTGTGAGTACAATTATTTCTTTTGTTATTGCTTTGACAGCTACAAAAGCTGATGGATTTGCACTGTATTTCCTGGGAGAATGCAATAATGTAAGTATACTGGATTAAAATGCTGCTTTTCTGTATGATCACAAGTATGTTTTCTAATATAATAATGGTGGTAATGAAAAAAATATTCTCTGCATTTAGGTCCTTGGTCTTTTGGGGTTTTTTTTAAAGATTTGGCAAGAATGCTATTGTTTCTCTGATTCTGGAAGCTTAACTTGTTATTTAACCCTATTATTAATTGTCTTTAAGAAATAGAAAACTTTACTTGGGTTTCATGTCTGCATAGCCTTTTCTTTGCATCTAGTTATCTCTCTGATTTTTTTAAATGTTGATTGTCAGCTGCCAGCTTGATAGTGAGGTGATGTAGGTTCTGGTTGGCATAAAATAAAAATTTAAAAATTAGTAATTCAGTTACTTTCTGATGTAATAATTCAAACAACAGCGAGCCCAATATTTGTTCTTTTGTTATTTGAATGTTAGAATACCTTGCATCTTTTTCTATCCAGTTGGACTTGTACAGTTAGCATGATACAAGACTTTGTAGTTATTTTGAATGGCTATGAGAAGGAAATTCGGTGTAGTACTTCAGTCAGTTCCCTCAAATTAAAAATCAGAATTTGTTGGAAATTTTGTCTTTCATTGGTTCAAGAAACAAGCAGTGATTAGAGAGGAAAATATTTTTTCTCTTTGTATTTTTTCCTTACTTTACGCAGTCAGTTTTGATAGCTTATTCTTGTATAGTCCATTAGCCAATTCGCCTTGCATGTTGTGCAATATTTGAATTCAGAAAAAACTGTAAAAGTTACTTTTTTTAAGTAGTGGAAACAGAATTGAAGAGGTATAAACCTGCAAGTAATTTGATATGGAAGAAGGCCCATACAGAAATTTCCTATAAGAAATGGAAATGAAGTTTTGCATTTTTTGTGATATAACTGTTTCACATAATAAAGATAACCCACTTTATTATTCAAAAATTCTTTATTCTCTCGATGGCTTTTGTTAAGCAAATAAATAGCATATATTTTTAAATAACTCTTTCACTGAGAGGTATAATTTAAGAAACATGTTGTTCATAATTTTGAATGCTGTCTTTGGTTCTTATTAGTAGATGACAGTGGGTGACAGATTTTCAGCAGTCACTGAAAATCTCCCTCCTGCTGCCAGAGGCAGGAACCTGCAGGAAATTCAGCCTCCATCCCAAATGCACAGCTCTCGACAGCTTTGGTGGCAGTGACTGCCTGCCAGCTAAGCATGCTCATCTCTAAATGCTTTGTAAAAGATTACAGTCAAATTAACTTTACTGCTTGAGACAAGGAGAATTTTTGCTATGGTGAGGTTTTTCCTATTACATTAGTATGGCATAACATGGGATTACTCACAGCCTTTTTGGTACCCTGAGGGCCTGGGTACTACATGACCTTCTGGTTTTTCTTTTCATTTTTTTTAAATAACATATTAGGCAGATGAATCTATTTGCTTCCCAGTATTCCAGTACAACTCTTTGCTGAAAAAAAAGCTCCAACCACTAAAAACACACATTGACTTTATTAACCACTGCTATGTAGCTGCATCACCCAAAATGGAATGTTCTTCATGTAGTTATTATAGGGACTGATCCCAAGTCCTTTGAAGTTAGTGTGAGATTTTCCATTCACTTTAGTGGGCTTTGGGCCAAACTTGTGTTTGTAGTCTTGTAACTAAATGGTAATGCATTAGCCTATTTCTTATAATAAATTGTCATTGTAAATTAATTTGGGTAGCCTTTGTCTCTTGAATATTTAATTTAAAGGTTGTATCCAAGTGAGATTAGCCATTGCCCAGCAAGCACTGGCAATGAGGTTTTATTTATTTTTATTAAATGTCTTTTTAAAATGGGAACAAAAAGATTCTGCATAGCAAAAGCAGGAATGAGCTAATTCTTTAGGCTGAAATTAAAAAAAAAAAACAAACCTTTGATTAGCCTGCATGAAGTATTTGCTGAATATCTATGGCCATGTGTTCAAGAATAGTATCTGCCTTTTGCTAGCTTAAGATTTTGGTGCTAGGTATGTGACTTGAATTTTTCAAATTTGGCAAAAGCCTTCCCCTCCCCCTGACCCTATCCCCCCAATTTAGCATTGGGCTTTTTTTTCCACTAGCTTACAAAATATCCGCTTGTTATCCAGCTAGGAATGTGTGTCTGTGAGTGTGTGTACATCTTTTTGAGAATCAAGTTTTGGGATGGGAGTGTGTAAAAATGGAGGAATCCTATTAACAGGTAGATAACTGCTTTCAAATGGTTTTCTAATATTTAGTGATGTGTGTGTTCTGACTATATTCTGTAAGGGAATTTATGACCAAACCTGAAGCATAAGCACTAATTCTACTTAATTTCAGTTCTTGCTTTAAATGTTTATAGGTATACTTTGGCTTGTTTAAATTAATCCAGATTTGCGAATTTTGGTTTATGTTAATCTCATCAAAGGAGAATTTTTGCAATATAAGATATCCTTAACTACCTTTAGCCTGGATTAAACAGTGAATTTCTAATTAGGATATAAGATAATTTTCATTTTACAAAAATGCTTAATTTTTGAAAAATGAAAACTAGTAAATGATTACTACATACTTTGTGCTATTATTTCTTAATATTAAAAAAATTGCCATATCATTGCAAATTGCTTTTTTAATGGTTTATTAAGAGTGCATACTAAATCATTCTTTGGTACTGTATTTAATATAGGCAGAATTTTCTTTACATGAAAATTACATTAGTACTGAAAGAAAATTCATCTAGTTTGAGGAAAAGCTCTAGATTAGCCAGTCCCTTTGTTTTTACAAAACATAGATGATACACTTGCCTTTAAAGGAGGACAGTGCTTTAGAAAAGAATCCTTTGGAGTTTAATGGCACAAAAGTAAGTTTGTGAAACTATCTGTCTGTATAAAATGTTTTTTTACAGCCTTATTTTCTTTCTCTCTATTGAAGTTTACATACTATATTAGAGTTGGAAAGCAGCATAAGGACTAAATAACTTCTGGCTGACAGTTCAGGTTGAATGCCTTCAGGATATTGACTTGAGTGAATTTACTTGAAATAGAAGATGCCACATCAATTGCAGATTCCAGTGCATTTTTTTAATGCAAGTAATACTCAGAATTGGTGCCAGAATGGTTCAATTATTTTAGCATCCTTCTGGGTGTTCAAATTGCTTGGAAGCACTACCACTTGGTGCAGTCCTAACTGAGAGTGTTCTGATGGTGATTCTGCTTTTCAGATTGCCCTCTAGCAGGTAAGCACCCCTTGCATGCCCAGCTCCTTCCTTCCCTGTGATGTTGCCCAGTGTTTCAGAATCTGGTTCTGCCTGTGCTATGTATATGCTAGAATGAATTGCAAAGTACTTGTGCTAAAAACAGTAGAGCTTCCACATCAGGGTCATAATCTGAACACACCTGGGCCCATATGGCCTCTGGATTTTTAACTTTCTTCATGTCTAAGGGCTTATCTTTGTCCATGGGTTAGTGAAGTTATGCAAATAAAGTTATTTTTTCTTCTGGTACATAGCAGCTGTTTTACAAATTCTATATACTGGAGAACAGAAACACTTCCAAATCAAACAGGAATGTTTCACAACTCTCCAGCAAAGGACGTTTTCTTTTTTATTTCTTATGGGGATGAATGTACAACAGTTCATAACTCTCCTGTTATGACCTTAATTAAGTATCATCTTCAAACATGTCTTAAAGGATTTACTGAAATCCTCATATTGGATACCGTGTGTGTAAATCAATTGCCTAAGCGTCATGCTAGCTAGGCATTCAAGTCCATAAGCTGACATCTTTACAAGGCACTATTTCTAAAGTACTTATCACAGTTACAGAGTTCCTAATGCATTACTACATTAATCAATTCTTCAGATACTTCTGGTTTATAGTTCTTACTTGTATGAGTAATTTTCCTCATGATTACACCGTGATTCCTACGTAAAGATGTATGACTTCGTGTTTAACAGGCATACACGTAAAGCAGCTTTTACTTGGTCTTGTGTTACTTAGTTCCTGAAACTGCAAATTGTGTTGACAAACAGATTATCCTCGCTTCAGACAGAAGTTTCCAATAGCTTTATTGTAAGAAAAAATTATGTGAGGCCACAAATATGTGCACATACTCTGTGCTTCAGGGTGTATTTTATTAAGCCATTCCTGAATTTCTGGTCGTGCAAAAGTTGTTGCCGCTTGATGTGTATGCAGTGCCACCTAGTGAGTTTATGAGGTGGGTGATTTGAATTATTAAGAATACAGGAAAGAACATGTACTGCTTACTAACTGTCTCTGGTTTTTGAATGCATAGACATCTCTGAAATTTGAGTCTTTTAGACATGTTTCCAGGTGAAATCCTTCTAATTGCAAGTCAATTCAAGAAATTGGTCTTTATCCTTGAATTAGTTCTAAGACCATGGGGTTCTTTTATATGCAAAGTAGAAGCAATCTGTTGCTTTCTTATTTGCCAATGAATAGTGATACTCAACAGACAGTGAAAGCTCCTGTTTAGTTACAGTGTTAAGAGTTTAAATTTGAGTCAATAAATTATCAAGCTGAAAGAAATAAATAACTGTCAAAATGTATCTTAGGGAAATTTTGGTCTTGTTTAATTTAATACTCAGGTAAATGGACTTGTGGAATGTGTTCATGATGAAGAGTATCATAGAATATCCTGAGTTGGAAGGGACCCATCAGGATCATCGAAATCCAGTTCCTGGCCTGCACAGGACACAGGAACTGGCCTCTGCCTGAGAGCATTGTCCTGAACTCTGCCAGGCTGGTGCTGTGACCACGTCCCTGGGGGGCCTGGTTCCAGTGAACCACCCTCTGGGTGAAGAACCTTTTCATAATATCCAACCTAAACCTCCTCTGACACAACTTCAGGCCATTCCCTTGGGTCCTGTCACTGGGCACCACAGAGCAGAGATCAGTGCCTGCCCCTCCTGTTCCCCTCAGGAGGAAGTTGTAGCTGCACTGAGGTCTCCCCTCAGTCTTCTCCAGTCTGAACAGACCAAGTGACCT